AATGGTTAAAAGGGTTAAATCTTTTACTCTTTAAATGGTTGTAGAAGAAGACTAAAAAACTACCCCTTGACTTCTTGAAATTGAAAATATTGTAAGCAGTGGCCATGCTCCTTTCCTACATATTTATATACAAAGAAAACATGATACACGCATTCTAAAGATATGTATGGGCATCCCAATCCAAACATATCTATTTGTGTATAGGCATTTTTTATGTGTACTTTGGTCACACTTGAACAAATGGATTTACATTTAAATTTTAAATTGAAAGTCTCATATTTAAATTTACATATTTAAAATATTTTTTTGGATAGTATAGAAAATCACATCAATAAGTTGTTCTATTTATATGACTCTTTACATGTTTAGGTAGCATTGAAAAAGTTGATTGAAATTTGAAATAATTAGGATAGATTATATTTATGCATTAATTTGAGCTAAACTTAACAGGCCAAGCCAATTCAAATAATCTTAAGGCTGAGCTTGTGAATTTAAAATATTTTTTTTACTTCAAGCTTATTCGAGCCACCCAAATATAACTTTAAAGAAATTTAGATAAAGCCTGAATTTGAATGGACTTAGTCTGAATAATAATAATTATTATTATTATTAGTAAAATAAAATTAAAATACAATACAAATTGAAAATATTTATTTTTTAAGACAAAAATAAAAATTAGTTAAAAATAAAATAATATTTAACAATTCAAGTATTCAAGTCAAATTGAATAAGCATGATGTGTTAGGGTTGAGTTTGACTATATAAGATTTTTTATATGTTTAGATATTTTAAGTCTAATATGAATAAATTCTGTCCGAATTGAACTTGCCCCACCTGAATTATTGGCCCTAGATTAGATATTTGAAAAGTTTTAAAGGTGATTATTTGAATAAATGTTTATGTTAAAGCTTTTAATCTTTAAATGGCAGTTAAAGAAGACTATAAAATCATGAGGCCAACTTTTGTGCTCATCAGGGAGATGAACACTACCGTATTCATCACCTTTAATGAGATCTAAGTTGTCAAGGTTTAATTTAAGTTATTCAAATTTAAAAGCTTTAACTTGTGATTTTTTTAAAAAAAATATTCTTTTTGAAAGGTTTGTTAGGAAATTATCTCTATTTTTTATACTCCATTTATCATAATAAAAATTCATAAAAATTATAAAAGTCTTAAATATTAAATTTGAACCTTCCAAAGTAAATTTAAACTGTCAATCTATAAAAATTGTAGAAGATTTTAATATTATATTTTTACCATTTAAATCAAATTTGAAGTGTTCAAATTGGCAACAACAAATTTATTAAAAATTTTAGTGTTTATACTTAAAATCCAACCTGTGAGTGAAACAAAATTACTTCTACTAAAGAGATACATTTACAGCATCAAAAGAATACCTACTTCTCAACTATCACGTAGGGGTGGGAATAGATCAGGCCCTTAATAGGAGCCTACAACCTGACCTATTTCAAGTTAGCCTAGCCTACTTATTAAATAGGCTTAGGCCAGGCTCGGGTCATTAATTAGGGCTATTTAGTTAAATAGGTTAAGCCTATTTTTTCAATGCCTCGTTCATGAGCCCAACAAGTCGACCTAAATATAATATAAAGTATAATTCTTACCAAATAAAAAACCTTTATATCAAAATAAAGTTATAAATTCAATAAAAATGCTAAACACTACAAAAGAAATCAAAAAAATTGAAAAAAGATTATTAAAAAATTATAGTGATAATCCTTTAGTACATTGAAAAAAATCTAAACCATTAGCAAAGATAAAATTAAGAGATTATAGTAAAGAAATAAACTGTAAACCATACCCATGGACAGAAAAAGATAGAAAAGAATTCATAATGCATATTAATGAAATGAAACAATATAATTTAATAACAGAAAGTAGATCTAAATATTCATCACCAGTAATGATTGTAATAAAACATAGTGAAAAAAAAAAGAAAAAAATCAAGATTAGTTATAAATTATAAAAAAATTAAATGAATTAGTAATAAAAAATAGATATCCAATACCAAAAATAGATTTGTTATTTAATTTAATAAGAGCTTAATTTTTTAATTTATTTTCTATTTCAAATAATTCTTCATCATATTTTATTGGTTCTAAATTTTCTTTATAAGCTTTTTTCATTATTTTTATAATTTTCTTATCTTTTTTACTTGGACAGTTTGGTGATATATGCCCTAGTTGTCCACAATTATAACATTTACATTTCTTAGATTTTTTATTATAATTTATTCTTCTTTTTTCTTTTCTTTTAAAGATGATACCAGAAGGTCAAAATGATGTTAAGATGAAGATAATATGAACTTCTTAATCCCTAAAGTTTATTGTTGTTTTACTCAGTTGCCTACTTTCCTACTTTCCCTATCTGTTTACTTGCTTTCTTTAATTATTGTTTGAATATTTTGATAGTAGTTGGCTGATAATATTGCAATTGATCAAATAGTTGTTCAAATAAATTGTTTAATTATGATTCCTTTAATTTTATTTCTAATTTTTGTTTTATTTCTTTTTCTTTTTTCTTTGCATAATTAATTTCATTTTCTCTATCAAATATCTGTAGTTCTAATTTTTTTATTTGTGCATGTATAAACTATATATTATTATTCATTATTTTTTGACCTTTTCATATTTTTTCTGCTTCTATACTTGTTTGTTTTATATTTTCATGCATGTCCTGTTTTCTTATTTTTTCTTCAGTCATATGTTCATCTTTAACTATTCTCATCATATTTACTTGTAATCATTCTTCTACTTTATTATGAGGGTTTATTCCTAAATATTTCATAATTCTATAAATATTATGACTTATCATACTTTGTTCAGTTCTTAATCTTTTTATATCATATTTTATTTCATCTAATCTTTCATTACAATCTTTATTTATTTCATATACCTTTTGTTCCAATGATTTAGCATATCTTTTAAGTCTTTTCATTTTTTTCTCTAGGGTTTTCTTTTTCTAACATCATTTATACTTCTTCTGATAACATATTTATTGTATCTTTTTTATTAAATAGATGTTCTAAGTCTCTTATATTTTCATTTATATAACATCCCCCCCACACACACACTTACTTCAATCATATTTTACTTATATATTAATCTTATTGTCACTTTGTTGTTATATTATATTATAGTTAGTAAATCCTTTTAATTCCTATATATCGTAATTGATAAATTAGGTTATATCTTGTATATTATAATAGCCTTAAAATATATTTAAGATGTTTAAAATTAAAATGTGAGCCTATTTAAAAAAACTTTACTTTTAAGTAGGCTTCTAAATAGACTTACAGGTTAGGCCAGGCTTTGAGTAAGCTCAAGCTTGAGCCTAAAAAGAGCCTTACACAAGATTTAGGTTAGGCTCAGGCCTCTAATTTACCACGCAGGCTCAGGTCTATTTGATTAAAGGCTAGTTCAGTCCAACCTATTTTCACCCCCTACTGTCATGCATGCAAATAATATAATAATGATAATCAAGCATCGATTTTATTCCCCTAAAATAGTAGCAGCATTTTTGGAAGTTGTAAAATACCGGGGTGACAAATAAATCAAAATCCTTTGTTGACTCTTTCATTTAAAGAGAAATGTGACCAAAACAAAAAGTTCAATCTAAGGACAAATATGTTCCGAAACTCTTTCATTCAAAGACGAAAGTGGGAGGAGAAAGATAAACCGGGACGCAAACCAGCAAGGGAGAAGCCAGGCGGTCAGAATCTCTTTTGGTTCAATTTATGTATTTGAAAGATGCAATACAACACAATGAAATGCAATGCAATCTTAATATTATTTTGGAATGGAGAGATGTTAATGAAGCACAATAAAGATTTATAGAAAGAGATATGAATGAATATTACCACCATTTGGGTAATGATGTGTAATAGTAAATATCATATATCGCAAGGTTAGGTGTGAAAATAGGTTGAGCTAAACTAAACTTTAATTAAATAGGTTTGACCCTGTATGGTAAATTAAAGACTTGAAGCTTGTACAAGTTTTTTTTATGACTCAAACATAAATATGCTTAAAGCCTATTCTAACCTGCAAGCCTATTTGAAAGCATGCTTAAATGTAAAACCTTTTAAATAGACTCGCATTTTAATTTTAAACGTTTTAAATATACTTTAAGACTATTATAATAAACAATATATAATTTAATTTATCAATTATAATATATAAAAATTGAAAGGACTTACTATCTACAATATAATATAACAATGAAGTACCAATATTAAAATTAATATATAAGTTAAATATAATTGAAATATAACTAAAAGTAGTGAAAAAAAAATTGATTAAAAATCATAAAATGAAACTAATGTGTTTGTGATATAATACATAATATATATACATATATATATATAAGTTGGCCTGTTAGGCTCGTAAATTAAACCTTAAAAAATAGTTAAATAGGCTTAATTAAAGCCTGAATTTGACTTAAGCCTACTTAATAAGTAGGCTAGGCTAAGCCTAAAATAAACCAGACTGCAAACTCCTATTAAAGACCTAACTTATTCCCACCTTTAGGCAAGGCAATATGAATTATCATTGCTTATGACATTAAACCAAACCGGCAGTGCAACGAAAGGCATAGATTGCAAACTTGGACCCTTAATTTGGATGGGAAGAAACATGGGAGGACTGGAAGAAAAAAAGTTTTTAAAATATTATTTATGAAAATTTTCCTTATTAAATTTATCTCTTCCCTATTTTCTTTACAATTTCCCCTCCATTCAAATCAAGCAAGAGAGTGCTGAAAAGAAGCGCCCAGCCACTTCCAACCCCACAACACAGCAGTAGCTTTTTTCTTCTAGCCATCAGAAAAGAGTAGAGCAATTGATCAAACTAAGATTCGATTAGAATATTATCATCTATCATTTGGACATCACTGTCCACAGCAACACCATAAATATTTTTTAATTGACTCATTTAACATTGGCAAATTTCATTTATCATGGAAATTGGGAAAACAGCACGCTGTATTGGTCAATCATTTAGCAGCATTTATTTAATATAAACCGCTGTACATCCAACGAGCTAGAATAAATTAACAGAATGCAGAGCAACACGTAATGCCATCTATATACAAATCTAAGCTCGAGAAAGGGAACGATGACAAAGCGATTCTATAAAATTGCAAAGATGCGATGCTATCAAGAAAGATCTGCCATGTCACTTCCTCACCCTGCAATCAAGGAAATTTTTCAGTGCAATGAAGCAAAGATCAATCTAGGCCAAATAAGAATCAATCCCCACTTACAATACTAAGTCATTGATTCATGCTGCAGAGAATATATCAGAGTCCAGAAGACATTACACATTGCAAACAATAAATGGAGTCAAAATTTTATCAAATAAATATATAACTAAATGGGGGACAAAACCTTTTTACCAAGATGACGTTATTTATACACGTTCAAGACAAAATAAATTACAGTCCAGCAGTGAGAAAAGCATTATGACTCATGACTGAAAATGACCCTATACTCAAGTCTTCATTGTGCTAAGCACATTCGCTCATCGTCATTCCTCCAAAAGACAGGCCACAGAATACACAAGAGTAGTTATATCCAATGAACAACGAAGAGGCACTCTGTGCCTTCGGGGTTCACTGCTATCAATGCTTTAAACTACAAGGGCAGAAGCTCAAAAGCTGGCATAAAAAAAGTGGAGACAATCAACTATTCCACTTGATTATTGATATTGACCACATGTATGACCTCTTAACCATTTAACTGAAAACAAAAGCAAGAGTTGCTGCTTCTCTGCTGCGCAGCAAGATTAGAAGATTGGAATTAAAAAGAAAACGAAAAGGAAAAAAGAAGCCCCCTTCTGAGTCACAAGCTTAGAGGGACGGAGCAGGCATGAAAACAAGTAAGACTCCATGGAGCTCCAGCCATTAGTCAATAAAACACTAGAGATATACTAATTTTAGTATGTTGTTTTAAGTTTGATAATACATGTTTATACAATATATGATGTATGTTGTTTTAAGTATGATAATATAAGTTGATACACTAAATTATGATTTGGAGAGTGATATGGGATTGTCCTACATATGAGAAGTTAAAACTATTCATTGGCTTCCTGCCAAAAACCGAGCGCAAAAGCTTCCCAGATGGGGTTCAAGTGGATGATCTCTGCTCAGGTGGTTGTGAATCCCATGAAAAAATGATGCACATCCTCCGAGACTACAGCAAGAGAAGTCTAGTGTGACCTTGTCAAACATACTTATGATGCCTTTTCCTCCCAAGATCAGCAGAACGGGATCCCTATGAAATGCAAGGAAGGAAGCCATAAGAAGGAGAGCTAGTAGGCTGGAGTGGAAAAAAAGTATTCGCTCAAGACTGTTGGAACCTTTTGTCAGAATGATGCAATAAAGTTTCCGACACAGTAAGGAGCAACTAAGCTATAGATGCACCCAGACTGAAGCGAAGAAAATGCACAGAACTGGTAAACAAGTCTGAGATCAAGAATTGGGACCCCCAATGCTAGTTTTGAATTTATGTTGATGAATCAGTTGATGCCGAAAGGGAAGCTACTGGAAGAGGGATGATGCAGGACCACTAAAGGCTATTGGCTATTGCAAGAGGACATAAAATTGGCAGGAATATTGGCAGAATTCTGGCATTAAGAAACTAGTGTTATACAGTTGATTTGGTGGAAGCAATCTCACACTGATAACCAGAGACTGAAGTAAGTACCACCATCTGGTGAATACCATTAAGGAAGCTCAAGGTCTGCTCACGTGCAACTAGATAGTCATCCTGGACCATGTTTATAGGGAATCTAATGCTTTGTCCTCATTGCCTTGATCACTAAGCTGTAGATTCTTGGTGCAGGACAGTCTTATTTTTGGATCCTGCTCTTTCTGCTCTAGTCCCCTAGTATGGTTAGTATGATAGCCTTTGGTTTTTTATATATATGCATAGACTACATTGTACAAGTTAGGTTATATTTGGTACGCATGAAATGAGCTTATTGAAATTTTGCATAATAATTATAAAATAACCTAGAAGTAAATGTATGCAACTCCCTAATAAAAATATTTTTTTTTTTTTAAAAAAGAGGGAGGGTGGGAGTTTATAGGAATAAACCAAGACACATAGGCTTTACCTATATCCTTTTGGCACAAACCAACTCTATTCGTAAAAATGTTCATAAATCGGGGTGAATATTAATTTAGGTTGATTCATGGCCCCAAAGTTTGGCATCAGATTGGACTAGATTAGTTTTACAGAATAGTTAGGCCACTTTTTAGGATAATAACTATTTCATAAAAATCAGAAACATCTTCCTGTCTTTTTCAGCAGAGTTCAAAGTATGAGCCATACTTTTATATATATGTATATATATTGATGATGATTGATATATGGATTAAAAATGGCTTTCTAAAAATAAAAATAAGATCAGGTCCGGCAAGACCTGATTGGACAACATGTGCAATCTTCATATGCTTATTTTTGGGCCCAACCCAAACTAATATGATCAATTTTAAAATATTGCTGATAAAATCAGCTGAGCAATTGATTTCTCAGCTTCAACTTTCAATCATAGCATCATAGGATACATATAGAGGGAGATATAGGGTTTGTACAATCAAACAGAATCTGGAATTTAAATTCTAGATATCAGATCACATCAAATATGATTCTAATCTCCTACATTAAATGAAAGATACTAAGAAGATAAAAGGGTTAAGGTGCAAGTCTCCCCCCAAAGTATCACAAGGTGCATCCTTAACCCTTAAAAAGTACAATGTCCCCCCTAATCTTTTAAAAACAGAGCAATGCCATCTAATTTTAACATATCAAAATGTTTGACTGTTAGTTTTGCCTTGATCAATCAATCCATTTCAAAGCTGCAACATCGAGCAAGAGCTTCTCCTCGCACCATCTAATGCACCTCTAATAGGCACTATTCCGTAATCCATGATAGCTAATAAACCATTCAAGCTTTAAAAGGTGAAGATTCAAAGCCTCCACACAAGGCCTCAAGGTTCTCCTTTCACCCCTACCTCCTACTATTCATATGTAGGACGGTTCAATCCGTCACAATTGTTGATTAATTTGATATTTTGGATTCCAAGGCTTAATTGTTTTACTTAAAATGGAATTTTATATGCAATGGAGAAGCAAAAAAGGAAGATGTGAGAGATTCTCTAGCGAATTTGACCTACAATACATCAATGGCAAGAGGATAGAAGATGGAGGTTAGCTAAGAGTCAAACACGGGGGAGAGAGTGAAGGACAAGAAGAGAGAAGTTGTGGGCGAGGCCAAAGAATAAGAGCTAGGAGTTGGAGAGAGCTAAAGTGTAAGCGGAGGTGACATATGATGACAACAAACCAACAGATCTGGATCTCTCACAAAGATATTGCCGGAGAAGACCCTATCTCCACACCCCACAGATATGGATCTCAAAACATTGTGTTTGAAGGAAGAAGCAGAGGTTTGCCTGCAATTATAAGCTGCGTCATCTTCCACAAAAATCTTAATCTTTCTTCCTCCCTAAGACAAATGCACTTGCCGTTCTGCTTTCCAGCAAGGTTCAGTAATTAATTGCATTAAACAAAGCTTATTTTTAGGTGAGCTTATGTACGCGTATCGGCTTATTGAATGCTACCCATAGTGTTGCTTTTGCTCATCTCCTTCGCTGGATCTTCTTCTGGTGCTTTTGCAGAAGCTGGCTCAGTGCCCATGTTTGGATGCCACACAAGCAGAGTTTAAATCCAGAGTGAAAAAAGGTGAGGTGGATGCCACATTGGCATGACACCTCAGTATAGTCGATCAACAACAGTCAATCATTTTGATGGGGCAACATTGCTCTGTTTCTGAAAGTCAAGGGGAACTTTGCACTTTTTAAAAGTTAAGGACAAAAATTGAGCCTCATGTGATATTCGAGAGCAAAATTGCACCTTAACTCAAAATAAAATATTAACAAGTAAATCAGATTAAATGAAACCAATATTGAATTGGCTTGGACCATCAGCACCATCTAACAATCGCCACTGAAAATGTTTATACTGGAGGGCATATTATTCAACAAACAACCACTATATAGACAAGACAATGGAAAATTTGAAATTATATCATGGTACAACGAAAAATTTTGTTTTATCAAATGTATATTGTGCACACCTAAAAAAACAAACAGAGAAGTCAGTATGATTTACTTTTTTAAAACAACAATGCAAGAAAGAAAGGAAAATGGAAAAAAAAAAAGGGTAGACGAAACAAGGCATTAAACCATTTCTCACCTACACACAAATTTCAAGACACCATCTGATTGAGAGTCATGGATGCTATCTAAATATTGCTTTTCCTCATAACCATTCAAATTTTCTGAGCCTTAATTTCCTTCAACTAGAAATTGACACTTCTCATCTAACTTCTAACCCACTCCACCACGGAATATAGGTTAGCAATCCTTTTCACATTAAACATCCAAAAAAAAAAACAACTAAGTAGATACGATATCCAATCATAGCCCCTCTTCCCCCCCCCCCCCCCCCTTCAAAACAAAGAAGATAATCGAAGGGAAAATATCAATAGAACACAAGTACAAAACCCCGAATAGTTTCGGGAGGAAACAAAGAACTAAATTCAAGGATGTCATACCTCATTACCAAACACAAGCTCATAATCAATTCACAACGGAACTCCTGTACAATACACCATTGACGACCCTTTATTGACTGTGAGAACTTTATCAGACCAAGCAATTTTGCCCCATAATTCATCTTCTTCATTGTTAGTCACCTCAATTCCGGCACACCAAATATGAATTTCTTTCCCAATCTTTTCTTCCCATAGCACATGCAATTTCCCACCAACATCACACATGGTTGCCCCACACAGAAACTTCGGCAAGTCCTTTTTCAAGCCTCTCACATCCTTCCAAAAACCTTTCTTCATATAAAATCCCTTGATATTCCCTAGGTAATCGTAGCAATATAAAACATCATTCACCACGCTTGCCCTCCCTTTCCATCCCAGATCAAGCTCAATCCCAACGCTTTCCCAAACCTCATTCCGTGTGTCATACACAACCCCACCGCGATCGGCCATGGCATGAACCTTACCATCCACGACCGCGCACGCATGCATCCATTTCCACCGGAAATCAACAGGACTTGGAACCGGATCCCACTTACCCTTCGCCGGATCGAGTACCTCAGCCCAATTCGTCGATCTGGCCCAAGTATCAGCGACGCAGCCTCCCATGACATAAATCTTCCCATCGACAACGGCCGCGGCGGCGAACTCACGGCCGACGCTCATGCTAGGGCCGGGCTGCCACGTATTAAATCGGCAATCGAGGATCCATACATGCGGGGAAGGGATGTTGTCGATAGAACCGCCGATAACGTAAATATTGTAGCCGATGACTGCATAAGCTGATCCGGCATAAGAGGCGGGCATGGGTGTAATAGGAACGAGGAGGTTTGGGCGTGAAGAACTGAGAGTGTTCCGATGGAGAGAGAACCATAGAAGATGACCATCGGGACCATGAGGGCGCAGAGCCAGGTAAAGAACGTGTTCCCTACATTGAAGCAGAGAACGAACGTTGAAGAAGACGGACGAAGAGAGGAGGGAGCGGAAGGGTTTGGAAACGAGCGACAGGGATAAGTGTTGGGAACGAGGAACGCGAGCCAAGCAGTTCAAAGCGACGTCGTCCGGGAGGGAGGGGATGAGATTCGGCGACGGCTGTTCCGAGCCCGTCGCCGAGGACGACCACATTGTTGACGTCAGGAGTACTGTGTTGGCATCGCACGTGGGTTACGAAACTGAAACTGAAACTGAAACTGAGAGCAGATACGATTAGGACTTGGGAGTGTGGGACAATGATTCTCTAGTCTTCTCTTCCGCCATTTTCCTTTCTTTTCTCAAATTTAATTTCTTATGACATTGTTTTTGGTCAAAAAAAAAATTTCTTATGACATTATTACTAAAATATTAAATTATAAAAAATATAAATGATAAAATTCAAACTATCAAAATTTAATATAAACAATTAAAAAATATTATAACAAAATAAAATTCAAACTATCTTTGATTTAATGGTTACAAAATTAAGAATAAGCGGAAAAGATGGAAAGAGAGGAGGAGAGAATCCTTGCCTAATGAATGGCAAGAAGTGAGTGAGCCAGTGGGCGATGGTTGGTATCTTTTTTCTTTTTTTTGAATTTGTTGATTTGGGCTGGAGTGTCACTAGCCCAATTCATTGAAGGAAGTCATTATTTGTTATGTTATGTTCATGTAATTTTAGATAGCGTGTTGATATCAAAAAAAAAAAAAAAATTAGATAGCGTGTTCCAAGCTCCTTGATGTTTTGTTTTTAGGTTGCATGCGTGGTAGAATTTGTTGAGTGCACATTGATATTTAATGTTCTACGAATTTTTCTGCTTTGACCTTCTTATGTAATATTTGGTTTGGGGGAAGCATTTTGATGAAAATGAAATTGAAAAAAAAAATAGAATTGAAACTAGAAAAATAAAGAAATTAAATTTAAAAGTAGGTTTGGTGTATGTAATAGAAAAAATGGGTGAAAAAAAATTTTCAAGCATATAAATAAAATTGATTCTAGAATATAAAAGGACGATATTATCCCTGCCACTTTCACCCATACTTCTCCTCCACCCATTGTTCAACACAATGCAAACCCAGATCAACAATATTTAACACAACCCAAGATCAATCAAAATTGTGGAGAATCAAATGACTAGAACTGCGCTCATAATTAACTCACAATGTAAAATGATGTAACAAGAATCAACAAAACCAAATCTAGGGATGTAAAAAAAAAAAAACAAAAGAACAAACAAAAGAACACACTGAGTTGACACCCATGGATTCACTGACCTAAACTAGGTATAAAAAAGATCAGTGAGGGAGCATAAGATTGCCACTCTCCTTAGGCGCAGCAACCAGTTGTCTTCAATTGCTCAATTGCCGCATATGTCCGCACCATTGAAGATAGGCTTGGCAGCGATCACACTCGTCTTCAATAACCTTCCATCTTAACCATTGCTCACATTCATCCTTGAACTCCACCTTCAATGACACACAATGGAGCACAACCAAGGTTTCATCCTTGAACTTCACCCACATCTCCGCTGTGGTTAAATTTACAGCGGTGAAACATGGTGGAGCATGACCAACAGACAAATTTGGAGCACAACAACTTCCATGGCTTTTAACCCTCACCATCAATGATCAAATTTGCGATATTAAAGTAGCATGACGCCATTACCAGTGAACGCATATTCAAGCTTAGATCTAAAGCTCATTGAAGCACCAAGCCCTTACCATTGAAGTGATTTTGGAAAATGAAGCTCGTTGAAGATTTCATGGCTTCTAAAGCTCACCTGAAATGAAGCGCAAAGGGAGAGAGTGTCAAAGGGGGAGTTTGATAGTTCCCAGGTAGGGAGACAATTTTGGAAATTTGAAAAGTAAGGAAGGATATTATGGTCAATAATATTATTTTCTAGGAAAATTTGGCTTTTCCATAGGATGATCATGGGAACTAAATTTTCACACACTCTCTCTCCCCTGAAAATCAATTCTTGAGAACCCATTTCCATGCCAACCAATCAAAGAAATTTGCTAATTCCTTTTTAGAAATTAATTCCTGTGAACCAAACAAGCCCTTAAATCCCTATTCAAAGTTTTTAGATCATCAACATCTTCAAAGAAAGGGTAGCTTCATAATGTTGTAAAATCTTGTATAAAATACGTTTCGAGTTGTACCTAAGCACGTTATCCTTAAATGAGACTTAGCTTGTCTCTGGAAATCTCAAGGAGGATGTAGGGGATTCATAAACATGGCTAAAAATTTTCCAAGTGATGGCATATGGAATTCAAGCGCTAGACAGAAGAGAAGTCGATAAACCTTTCATGTTCAAGCTATTGAAGACTGCTGCATTTGAGATTATACCATCCAATATGACGACATTCCCTGAATTCCATCCAGTACACAATTAAAGGGAGAAGTACTGTTGTCTACACTTTCCTATTTCTTTGGTGTGATCATCACAGTTTTTTTTTTTTTTCATAGCATCCTCAAACTCTTTTGAGGCCACTCAAAGTTATGGTGTTGTTATTGGCTATGTTTCTCGATTGAATTTATTAATTCTTGAATGTATTTATTAGAAGTAAGTTTATGAATATATCAGTTCTCTATGATCGTGAGAGCCTTGTGGCTCTCTGAAACCTCTAAGGTTTCCCTCTTCATCCTTGGGAGAGTCTCTCTATTGGGGAGAGTATTTCCTTCTCACGACGACGGCGACCTTCGAGGCTCTTCTCTGCAACGGCAGCCAAGGAGTGGTGTACATAGGTTGGGTGTATGGGTGGTTGGTATAAATGTGTCAGCTTGTGGAGATGGATTTAGGGATGAGGCTAGGCTTGGCAACTTCAAGATCTATAGAGGTAGAGGCTATGAAATCGAGATCAGCGAATCTTTTTTTCTTTTTTTGTGTCTAGTCACATAGGGGAAACGAATGATCCAAAGTTAAAAGGGGCGATGATTAAATCTGAAATGTGGCGGTTGATCTTATTTATAGGTCTAAACTTGTGGTAAGGTGGGTAGAGGATCAATTGTTTGTCATTGCAATTAGCTTTTGATTTAATAATCTTGCTTGCTTAGGTAACGTTGAAGACTTACAATAGGTGCCCCCTAGCTCATAAATGAAAATCGAGGTCAAATTTATGTTGGTGCTGGTGCAATTGGAGGTTTCAGAACCTGGGACAATGAAGATGAGCTTCTCTGTGTTCATGCTAGTTAAATCATGGAAGCATCTTCTCCAGGTGACTCTTTCTGTGATGAATGATTTGAGATTAGGGGTAATCTTTTTTACTCAGTTGTAGAATCATGAGGTTACGTTTAATTTAACTTGTAGTTTTTCAATGTGCTTTACTTCTTTCACATCTATTTGCTTGATGATTTATAAGGATCTTACTGGGTTAATCATGGTAATTTAAGTGACCATTCATTGCTAACAAGAGTCACCTTATATTACTACAAAAAAAGCAGCGAATTGGCAATGAAATTTAGTGATAGAATAAATTTTTGTTGAAATTTAGAGATAGAATATTTCATTGCTAAAAATTATGTTGCTACCCCATTGTTAATTTACTAACAGAATTTAAGGATAAAATATTTCATTGCTAAAAATTCTATCACTATTTTATCATTAAATCATGAAAATAACTTTATTGATGAAATGTTCTTTCATTAAATATTTTCTTGGTAAACTATTAAAAACAATTTAGCGATGAAAACATTGGTCAATAATTTTCAAGATACCTTTTTCCAATTTTATGACAGCATTTGCAACAAAATTTTTGTCATAATTCTATTGCTAATTTTGTCACAAATTATTTTTAATTTTATTATATAATTTATTGTCATGTTATAAATAAATAATTTAATAATTATAATTGATTATTTTAAATTAGTTAAATAATAATAATAATTTAAATTGTATACTTAATTATTTTTATTTTTTTATATCATACCTAATTATTGTTATTTAAAAATAAAAAATATTTTTAAATAAATAGTTTAAAAATATAAAATATTATATATTTTAAAAATCACAATATAATATATAATGATAATAAAATATTTTTCAATTTAATATTCATAGAAATAATTATTATATAGAAATTAATTTATCATATTGATAAATAAAAATAAATTTAAATAAATAAAAAAATTATAATATTATTTTTTTTCATATATATATTTATATGGTATTAAATATTATATAGTTAATTTATTAATTAAACACTAAAGATCTTTTTCAGCTCAATTGGCAATAAAATTAGACATATTTGAAGTTAGTATATGACTTGACTAAGGAAACTATCACCCTGTAGTATATATAAGGTTTAAATATTGTATTTTCTTCTTTTCTATCACTTTGTTCATTTTACATAAAGGTTTCGTTTAATTTTGGGGAGCTCCAACGATCGTGCTGGAACTGTTTTTAAGATTGTCAAAAAGTCTTGTAGAAATATATCCCGTGTTATGCCCAAAGACAAAAACATTCTGGAACAATTGTTAGAGCTTCCCATGATTAAGTGAAACCTTTTAAAAACATTCTAGAACAATTGTTAGAGCTTCCCATGATTAAGTGAAACCTTTTCATAAAACAAATAGAGTGACATAGAATAACTTAGGAGAAGCACAAACGTGGGAGAAGAGGAAAGTTCCTGAAAGCTTGAGATGGCACCCTAAAACTTGAGACAACAATTACTTTTTATAGGAAGAAATCTCATAAACATTGGGCAATAAAACATTGGTAATGACACCTTAATACAAATAAAAAACAATTTTGAATAATAAAGGGATTTAATATAAAATAAATGACTTAAATAGTAATTAATATTTTTAATCAAAATGATAACTCCTTTTGAAATATCATTAAATAATTAAAATATCCAACAAATAATAAAGAAAATGATAGATGATAGATAGATTCTCAAATACTATCTTCGTTTCAAATTATAAGATAATTTTAGATAAAATTTCACACATCAATAAATCTCATTAAATACACTTAATATTTTTATATTTTTAAAATAAAAATATAAATTTTTAAAAATTTCCATCATTTAATATATTGAAAAGAGAAGGGATAGAAATTAATTATAGAGAGAGAAAAGATAATATTAAAATAAGTCTATTTCATGAAACTTTAATTTTCTTAAAGTGTCTTATATTTTAAGACATCAAATCTCCCCAAAAAATGTCTTAGAATTTGAGAAAGAGGAAGTATTAAATTGATGATATCTAGGTTATAAAAAAAAAGTCTAAAAGATGAGTTATAGTAAATATTGATTCAGACAAAGAATTTT